CCAAGCGATTCCGGAATGTGTAACTTTCCGGAATAGGATGACTGCTCTATTTTTGTCTGAAAGCGAAGGTGCGGGAGTACGTAACTTTGCTCTCAATATCACACACACACCCTATCATCATAAATTCATCAAATTTCTCTTTCATTATGCGATAGTCTATGCAAAAGACGAAAAATTTTGTTCTGTTTGATCGATATTTCCCGATGTATTCTGAAATCGAAGCGAATATTGTTTCAATAAATTAGAAAAGTTACGAGATAATGAAGAAAAATTGATTATCGATGAATTAGTCGCCACCATCGTCTGAATGTTTCTTGAAATGTTTTTCTGTATAGGTCTGAAGGAAGGACAAAGACAATAAAGATAAGTATCGATGGAGTAAATGAAATGAAATAACCAGAAATAAATAATAATCGATGATTAGATGGATTGACACATTCTGATAACATTGACATAATCAGACGTGGTAGGGACAAAATCAGAAGAATAATTGGACTGATTAATAATTGTTTATGTTCACTAATTTGACTGTAAATATGTTCTTGCAGAGTTAGTCTTGTTTGAGCTGTTGATCGTTGTCGGGCGGATCCAGATATGATGAATAATGCAGAACAAAGATTGATAATACATGGAGCGACAAGATGAAAAAATAAGATGATTGTATTGTATTGCTGAACAAAAGAAGAATAACGAGTTAAACACCATCTATCGATATCCACTTCCTTTGTGTCTGTTTTTACCTCATACAGTTCTCGGTGTATAGGTTCGTGAATGATTGAACCCATGATACAGAATGGTAGTATAAGAATTATCCATCGAGCAATGCGTTGACTCTTTTGTTTATTGAATGCGATTCCTTTGAAAACAAGAATCGCTCTTTCAATAGCTACACACGCATTGAGCCAAGCATCCAAATAAAGACAAAGCTTGAGAAGTGGTTCGATCGATACACAACCACCTCGAACAACAGAAAGACGAATTGACAGATTTATTTGAGTGAGAACAACAAACCAAAACTTCACTGTAAATATACTGATTGTAAGAAACGATGTAATCGATGACGCGAAGAGATAGATGCCACATCCAACTTTCCGTAGTTCTTTGCTCTGAAATGTTATTAGAGACAAAATACTATTGATTAAACCTCCAACAAACATAATCATCGTTAAAACAGCATTGATTTTCACCAATATTGTTTGATCAGTCATTGTCATATTCGGTCGAATTTCATCACGTAAAATATCATCGAGAATGATACCAATACTTTTTTTGTAGAACTGACATTTTTGACCAATGAAACAACTCCTTAGAATTTGAGCTAAAAAAAGAAATAGATGGTCATCAAAAGATGAGATTAATCGTTCTCTACTTCAGGAGACCTTGTCGGAGTAAATTTGTAAGCAACAATAGTATATCAAAGTCATTTGTCTATACATGGCATGTCGTATCGAGATTAGATTTCTATATCTCTATTTTCTGTTTAATGTCTCATGGTGAATTTATTCATTTTTGTAAAGATGTTTCTGCATATGAACTGGATGAATTTTCAAAGACTGCATAGTAATAATATCACAGATAGTGTGAAATCACTGAAGAATAGATCCTCTCGAATATATTGTTGATGCGAGAAGAAAATTTGTATTAATTTACCCATCTGGTTGAACAAGTACAATCCATTTAATTCCGACTAAGTTACAATACTGAGACTTAATCTTATCTGATTGCAAGATAATTGGCTATTCTTAAAAGAAACAGTTCCGATATGATCCTATCTTTTGACTATAATTCTACTGAATTATATACTCTATTTGAAATTCTCAGATGTTTTATTATTCAAGAATGAAAATAGAGTTCAGTGGGATGTTGTATTTCTCTGTTGATGATTGGCAAAATAATACAAAATACTTACTGTAAGGATTAAGAGTGATGTTATTTCGACCAGCTGCTTTAATAGAAAAGTTTCCTGTCTCATTTGGATAACGTGTTGTTACCACTAATATGTATGTAATGCCAGTATGAAGATTAGCAATTAACTTGTAACCTTGATCACTACTGGCTCGATAATCCTTTGAGAGTCTATTCGCAAAAGGATCCATTGGATTAAAATCATTTTTGTAAATATAACCATATAGATCTGTCATTTCAGAAAAGATTATCAGAGTATAGTCTTCAGTTTTCTCTACGTTCACTCGTATAGTTTGATAGTAATAATTTGATATTCCACATTCTCGAGAATATGTTTGACTATTTGCAGTCAACTGTAATATATATTTTGATTGTACAGTTCCTGAAAATGTTGTTTCGATGGCTGATGGGTAACCTATGTGATGAAAATAAAAATAACAGTCGAGATTTGTGATAGATCTTGATTGACTCAGAGAAACACGAACCGTCTGGATGTAAGAAAGAAACTTGAGCATCATAAGTCATCTCTTATATACCCTGAAAGTCGAGAGGTATGTCGAAGCTGAGTCTAGCTTTCTGAAGAGACTACTCTCTATAATATCGCTTTTAATGAAATGATTAAATCGTAAATGTAGAGTGACAATAGAACCTATAAACATTTTTCTGTACTCGAACCCTCAATAATGTATGTCACGAATGAGTTTGGAATAACTTCTTTATTTCGAAAATGAATAATATCCCAAAGTTTTAGATAGAAAAAGTTGTTTATTTATAGTCTAATCCTTCTACTAATGTAATTTTTTCAAAAACTAAAGTATATAAAAATATCTTTTAGATTCATAAAAAGCAAGAATATGTTTATATTTTTTATCTACGATACACTATATTTGAATGTTTGCAACATTTTTTTATTATAGGAACATTGAGTGACAAGTCATGTTGTAACAAAAAGCAAAGTTTTTTTCATTTCATGGTCACGAGCAGGGATCTATGCTAATTTGCATATTATTTACATCAGGTTAGAAATCGATTGAAATGGATCTGTACCCAAGGACATTGATCTGATCCTATTCACAATATTCTGTTATTTGATGAAATTAATGTAGCTGTTTGTGTAAAGCTTTCTGCTTATAGTACAAATGTCATCTTACAAAACAAGTTTTTTATTTCTGGATATGTCAGACTCAACTAAATACTTATACTAACGTTGACAGATATTCATTTAATAGTTGTAGTACAAACACTTACTAATATTCTTGAGGTGAACATTGTCTGGACCAGATATAAAGATCGAGAATGTACCTGTCACGTTTGAGAAAAATGTTGTTACAATCAATATATATGTGATACTGGCTTCAAGACCATCTGTTAGTCTGAACTGATTTTTATTGCAGAGGTTAGCATTGGGTGGGAGTTTATTTTCAGCTGGATTGGATGGATTGAAATCATCTTTGTAAATACTACCGATTATATTCATATTGCTTTTGCCGATGAAAGTGTAAAAACCACTTGTACGAACATTCACTTGCATCGCATCATAGTAAGAACTTGGTCCGTACTCGACATCGAAATACGTTGAACTACTCGTAGCCAACTCTGATGCATAAACTGTTTGGACAAGTGATGAAGTATTCACTGACAAAAAAGAAAATTGATTCAATTTTGTATAATATAGAAACAAATGTAAATAATTTGAAATTTTATTTTCTCTCTGAAATTTATTTACCGAAAGCGACTGGAAGTGATATGAATCTTAGTCTCTATCGAATAGAATTATCTGTATATCATTTTGTAGACTGAGTTTATCTATATTTTTATCGATTATGAACAAGTAGCGTTCTTCGAAACTCGATTCACTTGGCCCTAGACTGTCGCGGTCTGCATGCTGATATAATTATATTTAGATACTAATGAGAGTTAATCAATATTAGTTTTGACTTTCAGCAGGAAACAAATTGAATTTCTACTCAATATAAAATCAAACATTCTCTAAAACTTTCATATTTGACGAACGAATAATAAAGTTTAAAAATACTTTAGCTTTATTTATGTGAATTTTATAAAAAAATAGGGTTTCAAAAAAAATAGTGTAGATCTCTTTATCATTGTATATTAAAATTGATTTTGAACCAGGGTTGCCAAATCAAAATTTTAGAAATCAGGAGTTTCAAAAA